CGCAGGCTGGATGTACGAGACGCGCACCCGCAGGATGTCGATCAAGACCAAGCTCTGGATGCTGCTGGTGAGTGGCCGACGGCGTCTCCGGTGCCAGCTCCGAGCGACAGTCATGACCAGCTTCAAGCGCGTCCCCGGCCGGGGCGTGCCGGGAATAGTCGGGCCGCGTGCGGCTCGCCGTCTGGCAGCCGTCAGCTGGCGGGACCGTGTCTCGCTGCCGGTGTGGTGTGATGACTGAACGTCCGTGGCTGACCGCCTGTCGCCCGTCACGGACCTACGACACACCGACGGAATCTGCTGACTGGGCGCCGCATCCGCCACGTCTACCGGACTGGTGCTGGAACGTCTGCCCGACGGCCGGAACGTCTGCCGTGTCTGTGGCGGCGGCCAGGACGTCTGCCGTGTCTGTGGCGGCGGCCAGGATGTCTGCCGTGTCTGTGACGGCGGCTGGAACGTTCGCCGCGTCTGTGGCAGCGGCCGGGACGTCTGCCGTGTCTGTAACGGCGGCTGGAACGTTCGCCGCGTCTGTGGCGGCGGCTGGAACGTTCGCCGTGTCTGTGGCGGGGGCCGGGACGTCTGCTTTGTGTGTGACGGCGGCTGGGACGTCTGCCGGGTCTGTGGCGGCGGCCGGGATATCTGCCGTGTGGGTGGCGGCGGCCAGGAGGTCTGCCGTGTCTGTGACGGCGGCCGGGACGTCTGCCGTGTCTGTGACGGCGGTCGGGACGTCTGCCGTGTCTGTGGTGGCGGCCGGGACGTCTGCCTTGTCTGTGGCGCCGGCCGGAATGTCTGCCGTGTCTGTGGCGTCTGCCGTGCCTGTGGCCGCGGCTGGGACGTTTGCCGGGTCTGTGGCGGCGGCCGGGACGCGGTGCCGATCTGGGCTGACGCGGCCGGTCGGTTTCAGGCGAAGATCCTGACGAGCATCAGCCGGCCGCAGCTGTACAGCTACCAGGGCTGCCTGCCGAGCCTGCCGCTGCCCAGCGTGGAGGACACCACTAGACGGGTGAGACGACTTCCTGCTGCCGACGACTGCCTACTGCCGACGACTGCCTACTGCCGACGACTGCCTACTGCCGACGACTGCCTACTATCGACGACCGCATACTGCCGACGACTGCCTTCTGCCGGCGACTGGATACTGCCGACGACTGCCTACTGCTGACGACTGCCTGCTATCGACGACTGCGTACTGCTGACGACTGCCTACTGCCGATGACTGCGCTCTGCCGACGACTGCATACTGCCGACGACCGCCCGCAGTCGACCCCACGGTGCCCAACTGCAAGCCGGTCGGGGGGCCAACGCTGTGCTTTGTCCTTCCAAACTTCCGTGTCTGCAGCGCACCACCGGTCCACCTCATCCTCTCTAAAGCGTACTGTCATTAGCCCTGTTTAGAGCCAGGCTTAAGGGAGTATGCTTGCCTCGTTTCTCGACCATTGATGTGAATGGACCGTAGTACGTGAGCACGTGAGCCGTGTATGTGTGTGAGTAATGTTTTGTGAGCAGTTTTTGCCGGTTTGTAAAAAGAGGGTTGGTAAAAAGTGTCGCAAAAAGCTGACCCCGGGGATCTTGTCAGCATGTTTGTTTTTCTCTACGATCTGCTGACTCACCCATTACATGCGATGAAGTCCTGACGGACGCGTGCCACGTATGCTGAGGCGTGCCTTCGTTATCCATGACTGCAGCCATGCAATCAAGGCATATGGTTACTCAATCTGCTGGGTGGCATCATTCCTTTATCTCACCGGATGTTTCGTAACCGCTGCGTTGACGTCACTGATCCACCCAGTCGCTGGTGCTTTTCTTGGCCGCGGATCCTATGTCGTAGCACGCCTTCAAACGGCATGCAGGGATATTTTTGTTGGTCGCAAACTTGGCAGTGACTCTGGGTCTTCCACTCAAAAGCGGCGGTGGAGTGCCCGTCGGCCGTGGTATAGCAACCCCAGTTGGAAGCGCGGGACATGTGCCGTGTCTGTTGGAGCGTCGCCGACGGTCACAGTATGGGTGTTATACGCGCCTCAGTAGCCCCGCCCTCTGTGGAACAAACCACGCTCCGTGTCTGCTGCAGTCCCCCGGCGTTTGTTGTTAGAGGACGTGTTGTGTGCGCTGTTCCTGGTGCAGTACCCACGACGCGCGCCATGCATGCTGCGTGATCTCCACTGACCGGAACGCAGCGTGTGCGCAGCGGTAGTTCCGCTGCTTGCATTGCGGTACACTTGGCATGGACGTGGGATGTTGAGTGCAGTACTTCCGCAGTGGCGGTACCGGACGCGTGCTCTGTATGCCGCAGTACCTGCGTTCGGTGCGCCCTCTGCTCAACGATGAGGAGTTCGCTCGCATGGAGAAGCTGACTGAGGAGTTCCGCACGACGCTGGGACCGAGACTGCAGCGCTACCTGTGGCTCAAGTCATGGTGAGTGTGTACCTCCCGGACACGGGGGTCTCTTGTCAGCGCCGTCGCTCGTGACCGGTCTGCGCTACATGCACCTCCCGCGCACGGGGTCTTGTCGGCGCCGTCGCTCGTGACCGGTCCGCGCTACATGCACCTCTCGCGCACGGGGTCTTGTCGGCGCCGTCGCTCGTGACCGGTCCGCGCTACATGCACCTCCCGCGCACGGGGTCTTGTCGGCGCCGTCGCTCGTGACCGGTCCGCGCTACATGCACCTCCCGCGCACGGCGTCTTGTCGGCGCCGTGGTGAGTGTGCACCTCTCGGGCACGGGTGTCTTGTCGGCGCCGTTGCTCGCGACCGGTCCGCGCTACACTGTATACCGTTGTATTCAAGCTGAGGACCTGATGCGTATGTCATTCAGCGTGCAATGACATGCGATAAGTGTTCTTGCAGTCGTCGTCTGTATTTGGGCTTGCTGATAATTAGAAAATTGTGTAACGTACGGAACACGCCTTGAAAACCAAAACGTCTAAAAGCCTTGCGTGCCAATGTCTGGCTTGGTGTCACGAGTGAACTTAGTGGCTGAAGGAGGCATAGCGTCCGTGCCCGCACCAGTGCACGTGCGCCCCGCCCGTCCCAGCGATTTGGCTCAGTGCGCCGCCACGCCACCAGGTGGACCACCAACTACGTGTCGGACTGGTGGGAGGAGTACGTCTACCTGCGCGGCCGCAGCGGCATCATGGTCAACTCCAACTTCTACGGCATCGACGCCATCCTGATGCAGCCGTCGACGGTGCAGGCGGCTCGTGCCGCCAACATCACCTACGCCGCCATGCTGTTTCGGCGCGCCATCGACCGCCAGGAGATCGAGCCGGTCAGTGGCACCCCTGCAGGCGGCGGCGCGAACCGGAGTGTTGCCGGCCGGCCGCGGAGAGGCGCCAGACGTTCGAGACTGTCGACAGGTGTAGGGTCACGGGCGGGATCGAGGCCGCGCCGTCGCCGCGGTCGGCTCGAGGGAGCTTGGACCTGCATGTCGCGTGTCTAAGCAGCCGGTGTGGGCAGGTGAAACCAAACGGCCGATTGAGGTCGAAACGGACAGACGGTGGAGGTTGCGGACGGCGCGAAGCGTCTCGGCTAGCCTGCTGACAGCGCGCCTCCCTGCCGTCGCCGGCAGATCCTGATCCAGGGCATGGTGCCGCTGTGCTCGTGGCAGTACGAGCGCACGTTCACACACACCCGCGTGCCCGGCATCGAGACAGACCGCATCGTGCACTACAACGACTCCACCCACATCGTGGTCATCCACAACGGCAAGTACTACAAGATGCAGGTGTACGACATCAAGAAGCGACTGATGACGCCGGCCACGCTGGAGATGTGAGTGCTGCCGGCTCGGTCGCCACCAGCTGCCGGGGCAGGGCGGGGCGACAGAGCGCAACGGGAGGGGGTCTCGGTGGCGACGTCATCTCAGCGGAGCTTATTAATGGTCAAGCGCCGAACTGAACGTGTGAACTGAAGGTTCTTCACTTTTCTCGGCCGCTAAGCCGCCCGTCTTCTGGTGCTCGTCGACGTGTTGCGCCGCGCGTGACCTGCTGTAGCTCGCTGTCCCGTCGCTGCCGCGTCCCCTGCCGGCTATAGCCGCCCCTGCCGGCGCTGACCGGATGCTGGCGCGCTCTCGGCAGGCAGTTCCAGCGCATCCTGGATGACGACGAGACGACGCCGGACAAGGGCGAGGAGCTGCTGGGCGCTCTGACGGCCGGCGACCGGGCGCACTGGTACCTGACGCGGCGCGACTTCTTCAGCCGCGGCACCAACCGCGCCAGTCTGCTCGCCATCGAGAAGGCCGCCTTCGTCGTCTGCCTGGACGACGTCGACCTCGTGTTCGACCAGGTCTGCGGAGCGGAGGGAAGGAGGGTCTCTGTAGATGGACCCATTGTGGGAGTCACGCTTCGCCGGGCCTGTTGTATCCAGCGTGGGGACATGGCGACGCGCGAGACCCGCGGAGCCTCGCGCTGAACCTGAGTGACGCGGCGGGGAATGGCCCTGCTCCGGCGTGTTTGGTGAATCTCTGTAGCCGGCCCACCTCTTATGTCGGCGCGCAATGGTGAGATGAGGTGCGCTGCTGGTGTACAAGGAAGGCGACCCTCGATTAGTTCGGGACGGTGACCTAGCTGCGCGGACCCCCGTGGGCGTTGCCGCCGGGCAGCATCTTCATCGCCGCCCTGAATCTTGTCGGTGTGAGCGGGAGCGTGTTGGCACTGAGTCATCGATGGCTGTGTCGGCGCCTACCGTGGTACAATGGCGCGCAGCGCCTGGTCGCTGTTAATGACTTCTGGTGTGTGTTAGTGATTTCATCCTAAACAATATTCCATGCATGTAGCCCATGTTGGACCAATCTCCGTTCAAGAGAACGAGTAGCGTGGACACCTAGCGTATCTTCACGCTCTGTCAGCTTTGCAGAATGTGAGAGCGTGCTCGCCATTGTCAGGGCGGACCCCAACCACCACAGACCCCTGGCTGTGGAGGCCTCTTGACCGCTACCGACCTCTGACTGTGGAGGCCTCTTGACCACTACAGACCCCTGACCGCTGCAGGTTTTGCCCGTCGGAGACCCGACCCTTGTCCATCGTAGACCCCGCTCGCCACAGACTAGCACATATCCCACCGTAAACAACCCCTGATCGTCGCGGGCCCCTGGCCACCGCAGACCCCTGATTGCCGCTGGTCTCCGCCCACCGCAGACCCCTGATCGTAGCTGGTCCCTGGCCACCGCAGACCCCTGATGGCCGCTAGCTTCTGCTAACCTCGGACCCCTGATCGCCGCTGGGCCCTGACCACCGCAGACCCGCTAGCCTCTGCTAACCACAGACCCCTGATCGCCGCTAGCCTCTGCTAACCACAGACCCATGATCGCCGCTGGCCCCTGACCACCGCAAGCCCCTGATCGACGCTGGCCTCTCCCCACCGCAGACCCCTGAATGACCTTCTGCCTTGCAGAGCGACCACACCAAGCTGGACGACTTCGGCCGCTGGTGTCTGCATGGCAACGGCTGTAACCGGTGGTACGACAAGTCGCTGAACCTCATCATCGGCAGGAACGGACGGGTGAGTGCCGCCGGGCCGTGTTTTCCGTGACCTGCGTCTGCGGCGCCGCCCGTCCCGGCCGACGCCGGCCCGTGCTCGCATGGGCCGCGTCTGTCCCAGGGACGGGCGCGGGGAGGGGCCTGTTGACTGTTGACCCCTCCTGGCGCCGGGGGTGGGGCGGACGGGGCGGAGCGAGGACGGCTGTGCAGTTGCCCTGCTCAATATCGTAATGTGTATTCTCATTTGTTGACTCGACACGTGGCGGACGCAGAGGCAGCTCGACCTGGCCCCGTCAGTGCGGCTGCGGGCGTGTGGGTGCGAGTGTGGGTGTTGGTGCTAGGGTGCAGCTGCGGCTGCGGCTGCGGCTGCGGCTGCGGCTGCGGCTGCCTGGGTTTGACTGCAGGCGTTCGGCAGCTTCCAATGTATTGCATGCTGGCCTGGTCCGCAGCACAGTTTGACAATCCTCACATCCTCGTTTCAGATTGGCTTCAATGGCGAACATTCGTGGTGAGTGCGGAACTGGCTTTTACTCCCAGGTCCTGAGCACCATATAGGATTCAAGTGCTTGACTGATCATACGTATTTGTTTATCTTGATTTAAAGGCTTCCCGTTTTCTTGGTGCAGTTGTAGTGTCAGTTGTTTACTGTTTGCGTTGTTTTCTGGTATCACATAACATATAGGCCAGGACCTGTAATTCTGTTAGCTTAACATTTTGTGAAGAAAGAGGCTTTGGATATAAATACCGCATATGTTAAATCTGCCCGAGAATTGATTTTTAGTTGATCGATAATCTAAGCACAGTAGACGCTCTAGGTCCGTTTCGAAAAATTAGACGACCTGGAAGCCAACGCCACTGTATCAGGCATACTCTGTCACTGGGGTCATGGGCTACTGGGGTCGCTGTATTAGGCATGCATTTCGGCGTTGTTCGTGACATCCACCTTTACATTCCATAACTTGGTTGTAACAAGACGTCAGGATGGGTTATAACACGCAGTTAAGTTTGGTTATAACAATAAGCCATGTGAGCTGATTCATCTTCGTGCATACATGTGTTCGTGATACATCACACACGTGAGTGCGCTGCCATCATTCAATGTTTCGCGTACTGTTTTATGGAACAAAAAGTATGTAGCCACCTTTGCCGATTCACGTGTTCAATGTTAGGCAAAAGCTGCAATAGGCGGCTGCGGTAAAGAAGCACGGAGAGTAACCGATTGTCATCTGAGGAAGTCTCGAATGTTCTGAAGCTTTCGGGGTTGTGTGCAGTGCTTGTTCGTTGAGCACCGTCTGCCATGCTGCAATAATGATCCTGGTTTTCAGGCAGCTGTTGCGATCCTGTGTAAACGCTGACTAGTGGTCTTGCGATGCTGCATCCCAACTTGACTCCTATCATGCATTAGTCGTGAAGCATGATCGTGTGTTCATTCCCGTCATTTTCAATGATCATGCATGGTTTGCATTTCGACAACACTTGCTCTGTAAAGCGATTAAAATGAACTATTCGCTACTGACCGTATTTACCGCTGTTTGAGCCATACATGAGCTGTGCCTGGCCCGCCATGCGCCACCTACCGTCGCTGACCAGCGCCCGGCCGTTGGCCGCGGTCTGTCGGCCGCGGCCCACTGTGCGCCCCGCCGCCCCTGACCCGGCCCGGCGCAGTGTAACGTGCCGCCCTGGTGCCATAGGGCGGACGCGCCCATCATGTCCCACTTGTGGGAGTACGTGCTGGCAGCGGACGTCATTCGCGAGGGGTATGGAGGCCTCGTTCTATCGCACCCTTCTCTCTCTATCTTCTCTCTGCCTGCCTGGCCGCCTGTTATAACGTGCGCTGTGTTGTGTCTGTGTTGAGCTCACCAGACCCGACCTGGCCTGAGCTGGCCTGAGCTGATTTGAGCTGACATCAATTAACGTCACCTGACCTGACCTGGCCTGACCTGAGCAGCGATGAATTAACATCACCCGTCCTGACCTGACTTGACCTGGGGCCGCCGGAAAAGAGACCGCCGTGCGCCCCCGCTGTGCATGTGTGCTGGTGTTTATGTGTGTGTGCGTGCGAACAAACGTGCGTGTGTGGGCAATAACACGTGTGTTGGTTGCGGGTCCTGCCGCGATGAATCGGGCTGGAGGCGGGTTCTCTTTCGAACCCATGGCACTCGTTCTGTGTCACCCGTAGGCCAGTTGCGACTAAGCGGGGCGGTCTTAACACAGTGGTCCTCCCTTGACCGTCACTGGCCGCGTGCCGACACACAGGATCTGTCCGGCCAGCTGGTAGGCCTGCCTTTCCTGTCAAGTTCGCATGTTTCACCTGACCGATGATGACACAAGTTACGGGGATGTCTTAAGCATCGCGTAAAGCTCGGAAAGCTTCAGGACACTGTAGCGAGCGTCATGATCCCGTACAGATCACGAACGACGCCAAGCGGAGAGAGTATCCTTGCGCTTCAGCATCACGCCATGATGCCTTCAGAGGTCCAGGATCAGGGTGGGGTGAAGGCCATGTCATAGTCAGCTCAGGTCACCACTCGTCGTGGTTTTCTGCTCCTCCAATTTGCTTGGTTCACAAGTCACGATCCGGAAATGGGAGTTAAACCGATTTATGCACAAAATAACATTACGGGACATTCCTTTGCACCCATAAGCGGCCCTCACACGGCCTCTGGTGACGTCCAGCCTCACATTACACGTGATCAGTGCGACTGTAGACGGTCTTGCCGGCGGGCTATGCCAGCGGCTGGTCCCGCCTGTCAGCGGAAGGCCCAGCCCGCCTTGCCCCGCACGACCAGTGCGGGAAGGCCGGGGTGCCGCCGGCCAGTTGCTACGAGCGTACGCGCTTCCGTGTGCCCCGGCCCTGGTGACGGTCCAAACCTGTGAGCGATCCACCGGCTCGACATACCTGTGTCTGTGACTATGTGCGCGTGTGAGTGGGTGATGGCGCGCGTCACTCTGGTTCTGTGTTCGATGTTAGCCAGCTGTTTTGCAAGTTCGTCAGCTTGACCGTAGTGCAAGGGTTGGGGTAGATGGCATGGATGAAACCTCTGTGGAGGGCCGCAGTGTCACTTTCCCTTCGCATAACCTTCCTGGAGGCAGTAAGGCGGATACCAAACAACAACAAATGAATTGCTTGGGCCATGCTTTTCTGAGCTTGCTTTAGCAATGTTTTACTTTTGAGCCACCAGTCGTGAGCCTACTTCTTTTCACCTGCACTGGGGACGGTTCTTACGAGCGGGATGTGACAATGCGCCTGGTATGCCCGCCCGTTTCCGATCTCCCGTATCTTCTTCCCCGACGCTAACACGGCTAATGTCTTTTTCTAGACAGGCGTGGGGATGCCAGATGCTGCCAGACGGACGCGGCGTTAGCGATTTTTGGTTTCAAAGCTCTTAAGCTCGTGACTTTCTGCCACAGGGCGGACGCCCCCGTCCTCAGCCTTGTGTGGGAAACCGCCATGATTAAAGATAGATTCTTTCTCGGGTAATAAGACGACTAGTTTGTGTTTAGTCTGTGCGTGACCCGTGGTAGCACGCGTTCGGGAGATTCTGTCGCTCTCAAGCCGCTGTCAACATATCGCTTTTGGAGCTTATTCCTCCACGGCCTTCTCGCCTGCTGGTCGGGGGCCCCTGCTCCGTCCCCGGTCCCTGCCTTTGCACGCTCTCAGAGCTCTCTGTGGGGCCGCCGGGGCCTTGGGGTCTGTTGGTAGCGCGGGGTTTGTGTGCTGCGGGGCGGCCGGCTGGGCGCGGTGGGCGGGCCTCTGCTGGTGCCAGCCTGCGCTCCTCTAACGTGCCTCTGATCTCCCGCCCCGCTGACGCGTCAGAATCGGAGCCCGTCTGGGGTATGTGAGCGGCGCGCCGCCGCGGCCGCCGCCGTGCCGTGCTGGGGTGGGCTGCAGCGCGCGCCCGGCTGGTGTGTGCCCCCTGCCCGGCCCCGTCCTCCGGGCAGACACCCGGCCGCTCGGCTCGGGCAGCGCTCAACCGCCCTGCGCTCGTGATTTGGTAACATCGCAAGCGTAATTCCGCGTGTCTCAAGGAGGAGCTTTAATCGTCTTTCGTCGCGCAGTGGGTGCCCTTGCCTACTGAGCTGTGACCATTTAATGCTGAGCTCACCGGGCTGGTTCGCAATCTCACGGTGGGAATGCGGCTCGTTCACCAATTTGATAGGCTCAGTTCAGCGCTGCTTTGGGCTACCAGGGAGCTGTCTGGTCCATCAGCTGCGACCCACTTTTGCCAGCCGTGGGTGCAGGATGTAAACTCTAGGCGCCTCAACGCCTCGGGCACTTCTGCGTCACCTGCCTGATGTGCTCTCTGCTGGGAGCGGCATCTTTCGGGGATGATGTCCCGCTGTGAATACTAATCACGATTGTAAGCAGAGCACGCGACGCAGGCGTCCTCTGAAAACCATTTTTATAACGTTTAATGTTCAAAACGTAACGGTTTGTAACGGTTTTTTATGGTTTGTAACGGTTGGGGGTTAAAAGGTAACGCCGCCCGTAAAAGGTTAAAAGATACCTGGCAAGTTCGCACTTGAGTGTGTATGCACCAGTCGGGCGCTGCGTTGTGGTACAGGGGCCGTCTGTGATCGTGTGTATGCGTCTATCTGTTTATGGGTACAGTTTGTCCTTCCTACGTTCTTTGTTACAACTTGCGTAGTGTTCGCCAGCTCACAGGGCATCATAACAAAGCGTGCTTTCATAATGGGTTCAGCCAGCATAGTTCGGCATTAATGCTATCTTGTTGTACTAGTATGCCATCAGTAAGTTAACTTGCCGCGTTCAGTTGCATTTTTACTGTTGACCGGTGAAAACGACGCAGCGTTACGTGACCGATGCTGGCGTACCGTAGCGTTACACGTGAGCTTGCGACCCAGCTCCGGCTTGCTGCTCGTCTTGCGAGCCGTCACGGCTGTGGGACCGGTGACTTGCCCCGCTCTAACCTGACCTGACCTGAGGGCTGGCGCCGCAGATACGCCGAGAATGGGCACACGGTGGGCGAGGCGGACACGGACGCCATCCCGCCCGTCAAACTGCGCTGGGACATAAAAAAGAAGTGCATGGAAGCCATCGAGCGCAGTCACAGGGTGAGCGGCAGCAGCCGGCCGGCGGCAGAGGCCGCGAACTCAGACCACGCTTGGAGTGGTCGGAGTTCCACGGCTCCACCACTCCGAGCGCGGCTCCACCACGCCTGGAGTGGGGGAGCCGTGCTCAGGCGACGTGGCCGGCTGACGTTCGCACTTGACACGGTGGCAATGCTTACCGTCGCGGTTGCCTTGGGGTTTTCGCCTTTCGTGATTACACATGGTCCGCGGGCGGCAAGAGTGGTGGAAACGGACTGGCACTGGAGTCTGCGAGCCTGGCTGGTGCCCCAGGCGGCCTCTGATGAGTGCGGAGTGGGCCTTGTCGGTGACGCTCGTGACTGTACTGGTCTGAGTCGGTGCCTCTCCCCTCTCCGCTGGCGTGGATGTGGAGCAGAAGGAAATATGCCCGCCGCTTTTTAAGAGAGCCTCATGGCGATGCATCGGAAGAGTGGGCTTCAAAATTAGCATCACCATTCCCCGGTTTCCGAGACGTTCCTCACGCCTTTGCTTACCGGGGTCAGTACGCTGACTGGTGCGACTGAGGCCGCCGCCGCCGCCCGCAGGAGGCCCAGATGGTGCTGGAGGACGTGGACCTGCGTCTGCTGATGCACGACAGCTTCGGCAAGGGCTTCATGAAGACCTGCAAAGTCAGCCCGGACGCCTTCATCCAGATGGCGCTCCAGCTGGCCTACTTCCGAGTGAGTGGTGCTGGTGTGAACTGGAGACTGCTGCTCCCTGTTGAGTATTGTTTCCTCGGCGCCAGCGTTGCCGATTCGGAAGCCGTTAGAACTCTGGGGCGGGTGTTGCGGCGCAAGCGCTGGTCTTTGAGCTCCAGCGAAGCCGCTACGGTTTGGGAGGTGAGGATTACTTCTGGGGGATTTGCGGTACTGGTAGCAGCTTTTTCCCGGTTGTTTATTATTGCTTATGTGTAATTTGAACTCGTTGACGGTAAAAGGTAACCCGGCAAGACTCTGACCGGTTCCGGCTGTGCCCTGTCCCCGACATGACTGACCGGTTCCGGCTTTGCCCTGTGCCCGACATGGCTGACCGGTTCCGGCTGTGCCCTGTCCCGGACATGGCTGACTGGTTCCGGCTGTGCCCTGTCCCGGACATGGCTGACCGGTTCCGGCTGTGCCCTGTCCCCGGACGTGACTGACCGGTTCCGGCTGTGCCCTGTCCCCGGCATGGCTGACTGGTTCCGGCTGTGCCCTGTCCCGGACATGGCTGACCGGTTCTGGCTGTGCCCTGTCCCCGGACATGACTGACCGGTTCCGGCTTTGCCCTGTCCCCGGCATGGCTGGCCGGTCCTGACTGCGCCCTGTCCCCACCAGGACCCCGGCCGGTTCTGACTGCGCCCTGTCTCCGGCAGGACTCTGGCCGGTTCCGGCTGACGTACGAGGCGTCGATGACGCGCTTGTTCCGCGAGGGCCGCACCGAGACCGTCCGGCCGTGCACCGTCGAGTCGTCCGCCTGGGTCCGCTCCATGGCGGCCGGCAACCAGGACGTAAGTAGGGCCGCCGTGGCCGCCGCGGCCGGGCGCAGGGCGGCAGGAGCGGACGGCGCTCTGAACCGGGCAAACGAGGCCGCCGCGTGGGCTGGGTGTGCAGCGAAATGCTCCAGCCGTCGTGTCGTGGGGGACGGGACGCTGGGAGCTTTTCCGTGGGCGAACAGCTCGGAGTGGGGAGGGCACACAACTGACGAGGCTGTCTCGTGCGGCTGCCCTGCCTCGCCTGTCGGCCGGCCAGCCACATGGTGAGGTGCACGGACAGTCTGTCCCTGGTGTGTGCGGCGTGCAGAGTGTGGAGTACAGCTGCCCGTGTGTGGGAGTAGGCGTTTACGGCAGTCGCGTCTGCGCGCGTCAGACGCCGTGGGGGATTCCGCGGCGCAGAATTGTGCGTGTGTGTAGCGAGGCCCCACGTGTGGCAGAGGAAGGAGCAGATCCGCCTGTTCCGCGTCGCCTGCGAGAACCACCAGCGCGGCTACCAGGACGCCATGCTGGGCAAAGGCATCGACCGCCACCTCTTCTGCCTGTACGTGGTCTCCAAGTACCTTGAGACGGACTCGCCCTTCCTCAAGGTCAGTGCTCGCTGTCCACTGTCTGTTCCGCGGCCGCTACCGTCAATCAAACGTCCAGTGAGCCGGATGACGGGGGGGGGGGGGGTACGGAGGTTCTCAAATATTTGCTTGCTTGCGTAATCGGTGGGGATTCGGGCAAAGCGCTGTATATATTTCTCTCAGTGTAGGATGTAACGTTGGTGCCGCCAGGTGGTGTAATACTCGCTGCTGTGTCGGTGTTTTGTGAACGGATGGCAGCTAAAACCTTTGTAAAATACCAGCTGCTGTCGGGCTCTGCCAATCATTGCCTTTTTCGTTCTTGACAAGACATCAGCGGGCATTACGGACCACAGCCGGCATTGAGCTGCGTCTGGAACTTATTATGTCCGATCTGTGCATTTGTAAAGAGGCAGCGTTTTGGGTGCCATCATATCATGCGACGCTTGGGAGACCTGCTGAGATTCTTCCGCAAATATATGCAATGATTGTCAATCAATGCATATATTTGGTAAGCATGGATTCACGTTGATAAAAGTGTGTCAATACTTACCACCATGCTCGGCTTGGCTCACTGGTGCATGTCGCTGATATGGGTTGTCACCATTTCGGGACCCACGGCAGCTGCGCCGCCTCCTTCGCCGTGACCGGTGCCGCCTCCTCCGCTCTGACCTGTTCCGCAACTTCCGCTCTGATCATTGCCGCTTCCTCCTCCGCTGTGACCGGCGCCGCCGCCTCCACCGTGACCGATGCCGCCTCCTCCACTGTCACCGGTGTCTTCCTCTCGCCGCAGGAGGTGCTCAGTGAGCCGTGGCGGCTCTCCACCTCCCAGACGCCGCACGGCCAGACCAACCTGCTGGACCTGCGCAAGCACCCCGGCTGCGTGTCGGCCGGTGGTGGTTTCGGACCCGTCGCCGACGACGGCTACGGCGTCAGCTACATCATCGCCGGCGAGGACATTGTCTTCTTCCACGTCAGCAGCAAGAAAAGCTCAGCAGATACGGTGCGTTAGGGGGGGAGGGGGAGAGAACTGTCGTCGGGTTTGGTCTGCGACATTGCCAGTATTTAAATGGTCGCAATCGGTTATAGTTTGTGTACTTTTATTTCTCATAATTTTGACATAAAGTGAGAGGCATTACATCACGAGCACAATTGCAAGGACTGAGTGCATGTACCTGGAAAGTGCAAACCTAATCCTGAAACTTATAATTGAACGGTGTTTTTTTGCACCGCAGTGGCTTTTCCGTCTAAGAATATGCTCTATATGACCTGTGGTTTCGCCCTCGATGACCACTGGGCCGAGGGCCTTTATGTCCAGTGGCTCGCTGCCGGCCGACGCGAGCGCGACCTTGCGTCATTGGCGGGCCTGACCTCGTGTGACCTCGTGCCGCGCCGGCAGGACTCTGACCGGTTCGTGGGCCGCATCCAGCGCGCTCTGGCTGATATCCGGCTGATGTTCGAGCAGGCGGCCGAATGATGGCGCTCCCCAGCTAATGTCAACCGAGCGGACGGCCGCGCAACCTGCGGTTTGTTGACCGGCCGAGAGATGGCGCCCGCCGCGCCCGTAGTTTGTTTATGCGTGTTAGTCAAAGTGCGAGGTGTTTCGGGTAGCCTTTGGTTTGGTTGTGGCTGTACTATAGATTGACAGAATGTGCGGCAGAGGAACGGCGTCATCAGAGCCGTGTTCAACAATGCAACGTGCTGGCACGAGTTAGTACAACTTGGGTGTTTGCCACACTTCTGGCAGGGTCAGGCTCCACAGGAGACTGGTTATGGCTCTAGCTTATGCCGTGTGTGGTGTACTGTTGTGTTTGTAGCGAAGACCGGCGTGCTCAATGACCAGAGATGTATCAATGCAAGTGCCACCAAACTGCATTCGTTGTAAGATAGCTGCTAGACTTAACACCATTTATTTACAGACACTGCACCCATGACCGATTTTTAAGCAACGCTGTGCGGTCAGTTAGTGCTCACTTGCTGTATATTGGGTCAGGTTTTACCTTCGGCACTAGGCTTTCCAGGAAAGATTGGTTGAAAAAACCTTCGGCACTAGGCTTTCCAGGAAAGACTGGTTGAACTGATTGGATAGAGGCGAGCTGTGCCTGGCCCGATTATCCGATTAAAATAGGACAATTTTCAGAGCTAGTGTTTACATAAAGTGCTGATGCAAGATTCTGTTACATGCGACCGCCGAACGTAAACGACATTGATGAGGACCGTCATGACGGCTCATTGAAGCGCTCGCCACATTGCTCGTCAACTAATACCGTCCTCCATCGCTCCTTGGATGTAAATCATAGCATCGGCAAAACACCGGCGCATGCAACGACGCTGACATAGGTGTATAGTGGACGACCCGGCCGTGTTAGGACGACGCATGCCTTCAGGACATCGGCGGTTAAATGCAACACCTTGCGATTTCTTTTCATGAGTCCTCGGCCTATTTACTTGAGGACACGCCATCCTTCATGGCACAGTGTAAGCGCTCTTTGTTTTTTTATGTTTCCCAGAGAGGTGACTGGAGGAGTGTACTCCTGTTGGCACATCTGATAGGTCAGCGCACGCTACATGTCCGTTCCGATTGGTCAGTGGTCGCTCAGCTTCAGCACTGATCGGTCGCATGCCTCTACGGCTGCACTGATTGGTCAGTACCAATTAGCAGGAAGTGTGCCATGTAATTGTGCTGCTGCTCTGTCCATTCACTAATACAGACACTGACGCCGATCAGCCGTCTTCAAATCCGGGAACACTGCGGGCAGCCTGCCTGAGCTCCGCTCGGGGCAAACTGCTGAAAAGGAACGGCGGGTACGGGCATCAGAAAAGCTCCAGCGTGGCTCGTTGGCACCGCCGGCTGTCGTAACCGTGCTATCATGCTGCTGAATGGTCTTGACGTCTCAGCAGCGACCTCTCCGTCATGGGGGAGCATTAGCGGGTAATCTGCGTGCTGTTTTCGTAAAGCTGGATAAAGCTGGCTGGACCTATGCCTTGATTCTATGCTGTTATCTGGCGCCAAAAACGTAGCGATTCCAAGCCATTGCAAAATGAGGAAGGGTAAACGATTTATGGGGATCTCTTCTCCCGATGCCTTCGATAATCTTCGATGCCTTCATTTCACATTTCAACCACCGCACACACTGGACGTTCAACGTAACAGTCGGCTCAACTAAGCTGCCTCAGACAGGCTGTTGTGGCGTTGTATTGAGCCGACCGTTCCTGTACACAAACACCGCTCAGTGCAGCGTTCATGTCAACAGGGGACACAAACAGTTAAAATAAATACAAATATTTTCGACAGTAACATGGAGATGACTTTGCCGCGACAAATTGCTCCCTTCGACAAACACATGACGAAAAATTGTTGCACACCGCACCTCTCGAACTCCCGTGCTCACAGAGCCCAGCACGGGATGCCAACGGCGAGCAGTGAGATGGCAGTTGTCTCGGATAGCTGTCCAGTGTTCCCAACAGAGATTCATAATCGACCACCAGCAGCACAGGAATTAATGGCTGCGGAGAACATTTACATCGACTGACTCGACAAACACCAACGTGGTCAACTCACAGCGCGCTAAGAAGGTAAAACACGAAATCAAAACATCTTTCTCGAGCCGGTCCTCAGCGCTTTCTCGCATTTTCACATCGCACCAGCCGTACACGCCGGTATGAAAACGAACAAAAAATAGTGAACTATCTTCGGCAAGGAACTGCCAACGCGCAAAGCGTCTTCCAAACGGGATGTCCGGGTGCGGGTCTCAGATCAGCGGAATAGCTAGCACGGCCCCGTCCGCCGAGCCCGTCCACGCTGCGTCAGCCCACCGCGTCCCAGCGTTCCACATCACACACTGCCAGAGCTAATACTGTCCGTTTGGTCGCGCGTCACGGACGGAGGCGGCCGCGCCATCCGCCAGCCGTCTCTGCAGACGGGCGGTCCGTCGCCCTCCCCACAGCGCCCGGAGCCGGGGCGGCGCCACGGCGGGACTGGACCGCCCCAGCAGCAGCAGAGGCGACACAAAACACAAAATGCACAGGAATTAACCGTCGCGGGGAGACGAAGCGACCCGCATTCAGGGTACAGGCCCGACAAAAAAAAACTCAGAAAAACGCGCGAACGTGCAGCCGCTCCGCGTCAGAACGGACCGCCCTGATCTGCCTGAGCCATCACGTCCCAAGGAACCTGAAGTCCTGTCGCGCCGCGATAGTTACTCTGGGTCGCCGCACCCTCTCCCCGTCCAGCCGTGTCGCACGAGCCCTAGAAGGCCCCTGTCGTGCCCGGCAGGACGAGGCCCTCGCGTCAGCACCAGCGCCATCAACCTCCACCCGCGTCCACGCACCCCGACACGCCAGCGCCCACTGCACTGGCGTGTCGAGAGCTTATCCCCCCCCCCCCCCCCCGATGCTGACCAGGCTCCGCTCCACAGACACCGCTCACAGGTAGCCCTTCTCGACGAGTGTGTCCCAGTTGATCTCGGCCTGGAACACCTCGCGCTGCAGCCAGCCGCGGTAGTCGCGCTTGAACTCGTCGGTCAGCTCCACCGGCCGGCCCAGCACCGAGCTCACGTCGTTGTCGACCGGCCGGTACTCGGGGTCCCAGGTGGTCTCCGGCTCGCCGTACCGCCGGTCGTTGAAGCGGTCCACGCGCATGCGCAGCTGACACTCCTCGGCGCGGAAGTCCAACGGCCTGGCGTCCACGTCTGCCGGCGGGCCCCCGAAGCGTCAGGAGGGTCGCCGGGGTCGCCGGCCACCGGGCCATCGGCAGGCTTTAGCACGACTCGCGGGGCTGAGCGGGGCCAGAGGGGGACCGGGATGCCGCACCGGTGCTAGCCGACAACAGTAAACCGGCCATGGCGTGTGCAGCGGGACGACCCTGACCCTGTCTCAACGCCGGTCCGCTTGCCTTTAGGAAGTCCTGCTCCGCGAAAGTAAGTAGCGGGTTTTTTGGTCGAATGCGGGGCCCTTTCAAAGCCAAAAAGTTATTTTTTATTTTATTTATCGATTAATTTCTATGTTGTCAATCATTTGAAGCCACAGTAAATACCTGTAACGGCCCTCGATATACCCGCGAAAGCTGCCGCGAGTCGGGCAAAATGACCAAAGCTACGGAAAATGTGGCATTGTACAACACTGCGTTCCAAGCCGCGACCGTGATCACCGGTTCACGAAACGGAACAAAAACATCGCTTCAGATTGGCTGGATGCGAAAATTGCTAACAGCTGCTGCAAAACTCAAAGCACCTCTACGTAGTAAGGAAATTTCAAAAGCAAGTCATTTTTTGACAGACAAAACGTGCACTGTTCCCATTCAACAACATTCATTTCCTGTGGTCTTTCTAATATGTGGTGCAAAGGGGCGTGCGCTGCCGCGTCAAGCACCTCATCACAATCACCCCTGTCACCCTCCCCCCCCCATCGCGCCTGGGTCCCCCACATCTGCAACCAAGCACCACGTGGCGTCCCCTGAACCAGCGGACAGCTCTCACCATTGCCGAAAGCCCAGTCGTCGTTGATTCTGTGCCGCACTTTCTGGTAGATGGCCGAGATGGTCTTCATGTTGGACTTGCGCCACTGCCTGCCCAGGTACTTGGTCTGCATCTTGAGCAGCTTGAGCGTGTAGACCTGCATCATGGCCTGCTTCACCTTGAGTGCCCGCTTCAGGATCGGCGCCGACTTGAACACCACCAGCATCTGACACCACAGCGGCGCGGCGTCAGTCCATGTAACAACACCAAAAGACGGGGTACGCAGCATCGCACGTGACGGAAGACGTTCGCGGAAATGGCTGGTGCTGTTCCGAGTGCACCTCCGAATGCAATGCACCCGGAAATTAAGAATGATGACAGGCAACACAATCTGGACTCATTTTCATAATCATCTGAAACGACAAAGCACCACCAGTGCGTCAGCTGCGGCAGGGGAACAAATGAACAAAATCAAAACAGGCGATAAAGAAACAACGGAGGTGAGAACTGATTCGCGGACCGATAGACCACCGACGGGGGTGACAGCTGATGCACGGACATTTCGGAGAGGGCTAGGGTCCACCAGATTCGTCAGAACCGCCCGCTTAAATCACCGGAAGGTCCGTGTGATGGTGATTAAGGGAAAACACGATAGAGAGCTGAGTATGCAATGGTTAAGAGCACAACGCCTGCCATGGTGAGGACTGAGCCGGTGTCCGAAGTCCGCGCAAGGGACCCGACCCGCGGTCAGCAGACTGACCATGATGCGCGAGTGCTTCCACTTGCAGAGCTTGTTGAGCATGCGCAGCAGGTTGATGCTGGCGAAGAGGTTGCGCCAGCAGTAGGGCTGGTCTCCGACCTCCAGGCTCTCGCCCGTCAGCTCGGGCTGCTCGCCGATCACGCACGACGGAAAGTCGATCACGGCGATCCTGAAACACCGCGCGCGCGCGAGATAACCCGCCGGCTGCGCGGAATGGGACTGCAGCCTGGGTGCTGTCGGTGTGACAGCCATACGCACGGCACGTAACCAAGACACAGTCAGCCGTGACGTGCACCCGCTCCCGCTCACCACAGACAAAAATGAAAGAGCCCGCAAAGGTAAATGAAAACGGACGTGTAGAGCAGTAAATTACGGACATGGAGGATGCTCTAACAGACACGGGCATGCCACTGAAATATATGCTCGCAAGTGGAGAGCGACGGGAAAATGACAAACACAAGCAAAACCACATGATATCGATTTAATTCCACCCTTCGGACCACTCAGGTCGTCAGTCGACTGTATTAGGGCACGACCATTCCACCATGGGCCGCCACCACCAGCTGGCGAGACGGGGCCGCCCACAGTCCACGCAGGGTCCCACCGTCTGGCTTCCATCTGCGCTATCCCGCCGGCTCACGTGTTCTTGGACGTGATGTACGCCATGATGTCCTGGTTGAAGAACTTGAGCACCAGCGGTATGCAGTTGGCGAACACCAGGTGCTGGCTGACGAACTCAAGCTGGTACACGTGGTTCAGCTTGAGGTGCTTCAGCAACAGCAGCAAGATGGCTGACACCGCCTTCACGATGATCTCCTTCTGCCTGTTCAGGTCGATGCCCAGTCGCATCGACTTGACCACCGTCATCCTGCCGAAGGAGGAGCCGTCTGAAGGGCGACCAACACGCGGACGCACGCACACACAGACTGGGAGGCGAGCGACCCGGCGCATCACAGCGCGGTGCCTTGCGCCCAGGCTAGTACAGCGACATGACAGCTCGTCATCGACGACGCTCAACCCTTACGAAACGTCAGCATACACGGCTGGATACGCGACCGTCCTGATATAAACGCGCGTCGCATTTGGCACCTGTCACTACGTGTCGTAATTGCAGCACACTATTCCATAATGTCCACATGGGGCGCGGCGCCAGATCCACCCAGCTGACACCCGCCGGGCAATCGCCCCACTCACGGCACGTCTCCGGCATCGCTCCACTCACGGCACGTCTCCGGCATCGCTCCACTCACGGCACGTCTCCGGCATCGCTCCACCCACGGCACGTCTCCGGGGTCGCTCCACTCACGGCAAGTCTTCAAGCGGCCATCACCCAGACCTCGCCGTACACGCGGCACCCTCCCTCCCGTCGGCCCGCCGCCCACTGGCAACATCCCATCCTCCACTCATCGCCTCCCCAATCACGGAATCTGCTCTAGCGACTGTCTCTCCACTTGGGGCATCTCCTCTTTCACCAGTCTTCCCACTCACGGCGCCCCATCTTCCGACTGTCTTCCCACTCGCGGCACCCCACCTCCCACCAGTCTCCCCACTCACGGCATCTCCTCCGGCAGCGCGTCGGCCAGGATATTGATGGAGTCGGTTTTGGTCTTGGAGGTGGGCGCGGCGGCCAGCAAAACCTTCAGCAGCGCTATCATGTACTGCGGCAGGTTCGGCAGCATCCCCTGCAAGAGTCAGACAGGTTCATCGCGCGTCCTTGGAAGGGCAGTCACTCAGCGCACTCCGTCGTAGCCAAATACATTAATTACAGTGCGATGGAAGTCTCAGGAATCGGAAAACGTTACGTCGTTAGCAGATAGACATTCAGCATAACCCACCACTGTCGGAAGTTGCCTCTCACCACTCCCGCAGAGTACGGGAGTCACACATCACGCAGAGATGACGCCACCGCTTCTGTCTCGTCCTGGACGCTGTCGCGCAGCCGCACAGCTGGCTACTCATGCCGTTACGACGGCCCGAGGAGTCAGAACTCTGCGCGCCATGTCAGCCCCAGAAGCACCCGCCGCCAGGCCGGCCGAGTGCATCCCGTCCAGTCCAGGCCGGGCGGCACCCCGTCCCTCTCCGGCCGGGCGGCGCCCCATCCCTCGCCCTCCCGGCCGAGCGGCGCCTCGTCCCCCCCCCTCTCCGGCTGAGCGGCATCCCGTCCCGTCCCGGCCGGGCGGCGCCCCGTCCCGCTCCAGTCGGGCGGCCACCTACCGCGTACAGCAGCTCGACGGGCGTCTGCGGCACGTCCGTCTCGGGCCGGCTGAACGGACTGCGGTCGATCTCGTCCTCGCGCTCAATCTGCACCTCCGACAGCGACCTGTACACGTGCTGCGGCCGGACCGCCGGGCAGTGAGCCGTTTGCTGAGGGTGGCTCCCGCGGTCGAGCACGCCGCTCGTGCCACCGGGCTCACTTCTCACTGAGGCAGCGACTTCGCCTACCACAGCACGAAAACTGTTCTGCTATCAAAAACCCTACCACGTACTGCTCTGGTCGTGCAGCCTGACAACATTGCTCGAAAATAAACACGAACATACTGCTTCATCTTTGTCTCTCCCCCCAAAAAAGCTACATTTTTGCGCCAGATGTACGGCAACTACACCAGGTGACATAGTTATGGGCGCAAAATGACCACTGTAGTCGACGTGCCCGAAAACACCAATAAAACACCAATGCACCGGATTGCGTTAACGCCAGTCACAACAGACGTCCAGACGTACATGCCCTGCCGAGACGCCCCACGCGGGCCCCCACCAAGCAGCACCACTGCACGCACCCGCTCCAGGACCCTGGCACCCTCCTTGATGGGCGACGGCAGGCCCGCCGTGGACGTCAGGTCGTTGTCCAGGTCGTAGCCGACGAACTTGCGCCGGGACGTGTCGAGGAACGACACGACATCCTTGGTGCGCACCTTGGGCGTCCACGGCAGACCTGTGGGATGGGGGCGGAGGGTCGCCGTCAGGACCACGCCCGTGGCGGGTCGCGGGAGACGCTCCAATGTCGGTTAGCGGAAAGCGCGGTCTGAACCCACGCCATTCGAGCGGATGCAAACGTTAAGTCACACGGTAGCACGAAGCGCGACGAGAAAATGGTCAGGGGTAGCTGGCTAAACAACACCGCTGACCTTTCAGGTTTAAAGCGAGTCTGACGGTCTGCCCGACGCCTGAGTGGGCAGAACCCGGAGAAAAGCCTCCCGACGGGCGAAAGCGCACCCCTTGCCTGACACCTCGGCGCCTAGTCAAGAGAGCCGAGAAGAAGCCCAACACCCACACCCATTGAGGGGAGGGTAGACGGGGCGTACTTTTGCTGGGTATGGGGCACAGGCGGCATTGGCGAGCCGGGGCGGGGCGAGTCCCGGCCCGGGTCGGCGCCCGGCTCGCTGCTGTCGCTGCTCTCCAGCTCCTGTTCGGCGTCCTCGTCCAGCGACGACTGCTTCATCAGGCCCTAACGGACGGAGCGGCACACCGTCAGTTCGACCCCGCTGAAAGAGATGGGCCGGCGCACCGAGCCAGGCCCCGGCCGAGGTCGCTTCGAATGACTCTGTACCAACCCACACGCGGGGGAACCGTTTCGATGCCAGTTTGCGCACCGTGTCGGGTACGCCCCGTGACCGAAGCAAAAATAAACGATTGCCAAAATCGAGCGACGTCGAAGTGTGTAGTTGCCACGGCGGGACAGCTGTCTGGTGGGAACGTGGAACGCCGTTAAGAGACAGCGCGGAACAATGTCCGACACAAGCAACGACCTCGCGCGTGTGAGAGCAGTGAGCGATTACGACGCCACCAAGTCCAGCGCGCATTGACGGTCTCGCAGGCGGACGACTTCGTGGTACAGCGTCAAGGCGAAGACGTGAGATGCAAAAGTACGGCACTGTGCCTGGCGGCGGATGGGGCCGTGGCAGGGCACACAAAGCCCACCGACCCCCGACGCGCCCACTCACCCTCCGCAGCAGGCGGAGCGACTGGGCGCGGTGCTGCGAGTCGGCCACGTCGACGCCGCTGAGCGGCGGACTACTGCAGCGCATGGTGCGCGTGCGCTGGGCCGTGTCCTCGGGCACGGGCGGCAGGTGCGCGGCGGCGCGCCGCTGGTCCCGCATCCGGCGCAGCTCGTCCGAGCCGCCCAGCGTCACCAGCAGCACCTTCCACACCAGCAGCAGCACCTTCTTCATGGGGAAGTGCGGCGTGGCGCCGCTGCAGAAGCGGGCCACCATGCCCAGCAGCGTCACCACCACCAGCTCACCGTTGTCCTGCGGCAGCACTGCGGCCGCGCAGCGTCAGTCGCCGACGGCGGTCAGCCAGAGCCTCGCGACACATGGCGCCAAGCCGCCGTACTATGAGCGGCAGGTGACGCGACGGGCGGGCCACGGCACAGGTCTTCCTCCACGCTTCAGTTGTACACTGGTGTGTCGGTGGCCGGCGGCGGAGCGCACTCCCTGGCTGACCCCGCAGACAAGCACTGATCGGACACTCAAACGCACAATTTACGCCCAGGGCAGGCCGGCGCGAAAGGCGCACAGTTAACCCATCACCATCCCCGGTCGTCAGTACGGAGCCGCAGCCGAGTCGCCTGCGATGCTCCCGGGCTGCACGGTGGGCGGCACGCACTGCCATACATTGAGCCACGCCCGCGACGAGCGCGGCGCCTCGCGACCGCCCGCCTGCCCTGGACGGCCACTCACTGAGCTCGGCCTTGAAGTTCTCACGCAGCTGCGTGCACGGGTCCAGCTCGTCCGGCACGCGCATCACCTCCACCATGATGTACAGCACGCTGAGCACCACGCGCAGGTCCGTGGAGTCGGCCAGCGAGACGGCCAGCTTGCGCAGCGCCGCGCTGGCCGTCGTGCCGTTCCTGGCAACGCGGCGTTCCACGTGAGCGCGACGGCGGCGGGAGAGGCGGGGAAACGGGGGGCGGCCCGGTGACCGACACTGCGCCGCACAGCGAGAACACAAATGACGCGGGAGCTTCACTGGAGTGGAAACGTTAACTACCAATTTGCCCAAGGTAAATGTCTATGCGAGCTTGTAAGGGGCTGCCCATCAAAATACGGGCGTCAGGCAGAAACTGAAAAGACGTTTTGGAGCAATAAAGTGAAGCCGTGCCTGTGTGTGGTAGTAGAGATAGGAAGACACGGACACTCACTCGATTTCGAGGTAGAGTAGCTCGAGGAAGGCGGAGAATACACCGCACTTGTATAGCAGCATAACGTTGGTTCTGGCCCAGCTCGCCTGCTCCTCGTCCGACTGCACTTCGGCCCAGCAGCCCTGGGCTATATACAGCAGCGCCCGCATCGCTGCCGTACGAACGGGGGAGTCAGCGCAGCTGGGGGCGAAGCACTACCACAGACACTAGGGACCTTCTGCACATTAGCGCCCGAAACCCTGTCACGAGACACAGGAATGACAAAAACCGAGAGCATGACCAAGTGTTCTCTACCAGTGGTATTGCACAGAGATGTCACCTTTCATGCGGGCATCCCTCCTGGAGAGGTCCAGACGATCCATGAGTTTGAGGACCACAGCCCGGCGCCGCTCGTCGCGCATGCTCTGCCAGCATCTCCCGAAGCCATGCTCGCTCATCAGCTCGTCGAAGCACTGTAATGGACGCCACAGCTGCGGTGACGGTCCCCGGAGGACGGGCTGAGCAGCACACCAGCCGGGCGCCGGGCTTCACGACAAACTCACAACGGCGCCGTTCGCTGCGCAGCCGCGGACACACGCCCGCTGTCGGTCAACGCTGCAGCGTTAGCAACGGCCGGCACAAACAGCTGACAGAGGCTCACAACATGCATTTGATGTTTCATCCCATGTCTGTACAACGGTTAGAAAAAGCTGGCTGGTGTGAGTGGAATTCACTTCTGACCCATAATTGATGATATCTTGCAAATGGCATGTCCGGCTGCTGAACACAGGGCCTGCATCACAAGCTCCCCGGGCCACACCGCACTGGCTGTGCTGCATTGGACCGCACAGGTTGCGTGAGACACTTATGTTTTTTTATGTTTCAATTAAAATTTATGTTTCGAGTAAAACACTTGTATGCTATGCCTGAACAGTACCTTAAAAGGGTTCTATTTCAATATCTTCAAGAGTTTCAACCATATGCAATCATTATAAAGAGCCCTGCAAAACTTATGGTGCTTTGACTATATTTTAGCTTTTACTAAGGCTCACAAGGATACCAGGCATTTCTGGGTGACACCACATGCATCAAAAGCACCAGAAGTCACAATTACAAAGATATCTATGCATTTCAATACAACAGCATCCATGCATTTTGACATCAAATACAGAACAGCTTACCTTCAAGTTTATCTGGAATTCAGGCACTTCTGTGTAGCTATAAAGCTCTGCAATTTCATTCATGTGAGATTCTGTATCCTCATACTGGAAATCCAGCTCTGGAAACTCATCACCACACTGCAAAGGGAATGATTAACATGGGGTTAGCATTTATGTGCACTGTTGATAGGTGACACAGATGACAGACACAAAGTTCATCACAGACTGTTAGCTAGGGACATTTGCTAAGTTCTTTATTCATACCAGCATTACAAGTATGAAAATCCCTAGGCTTATTAAATCTAAAAGCACCTACCTAAATGCAAAAGCACACAAATTGTGTAAATGCAGATACCAAAGTCTTTATTCAGGCACAAACATTTGAGTCTGGTGGATAACCTACCTCAGACTCTTCTTTGTTCCGCAGCATGATTTCACGAAGCTTTTCCAAGCCTCTTTTGCTTCCATTTGTGTTGCCATTTGGATCCATGGCAGCTATGGGTGTATCACTGCATTAGCACAAAATATGTATATATATACATTTATACATATATATATATATATATATATATATAACCATCTGAACCTTAAGCTTCAATTTTTATTTGCAGCAACATATTTTTCTGGCATCAAGAAAACTGATTCTTGTGATTAACAAATTATTTCTTATCTTTTAGGGTGGCTTCCCAGGTTTTTAAAAAGGGAAATAAGACCTATTCAAAATTAACAGCATATCACTTAATACCCTATAAGGCTACAGATCTAAGAGCATAGGCTGTTCAAGAGTGAAATAACCTTAAAACACTGTCTTTAACCCATTTTGCAGTTTTTCATTACATATCCATAGCTTGTCCAAAAACAATTTGGATGCTATTTTTCATAAGCTACTTTAAGATGTTTCAGGCATCAGACAAAACAAAAGCACATCAAACATGCACGCCATTCCACATGGGCTTAGATTGTGCACTCCAGTGTATTCCATATGAGTCTGATATTCCCATGTGTGTTAACTGAAACTTTCATGCTTCAAAGTCATTGGTGCAGACTGGCATCATGTGCCAGATGCTAAGCTGCAAGGTAATGTACAAGAAGCCATGGGTTATTAATCCAAACATGATTCCATCCAATGCAGCCAAACCAAAGCAGTACTGGTGTGCTGAACCTGATACACATATATGCCAGACTCAGTGTCAGACAAAATGAGCTGAATTTTGAGCACAATTTTGCTTAAAAATGCTTTCAGCTACTCTCATTTAAAGAAATGAAGTCAGCATTTCAATTTCTTTTGATACACTGCCTCTATGGGTCAATTGCTGCAAGGCTGCTGCCCCTGTGCTAGAGATGCTTAGGGTCAGGCATTTTTCTTGTTGTCAGGCTGGATCGTTTCAGCACAAGCCATTTGCGAAATCAGAATTTAAACAGTCAATGTGGAAAAGGCAAAGCAACAGAACACAAATCATTGTCATCAGAATGACAGTAGCGCAAGTGCACCAAGGAAAAAGGAGCACCAATCAAGTGATCAAACTACGTGCCCAGAGCCTTACAGATTTCATCCTAACAACCGGAACTCCATTCCCTTGGTCCCGTGCCTCTATCACATTCTCCATCACAGCTGATGTGTCGAATAGGTCAGCATATTCACAATTGAAAAACAATTAAAGGCAAACATACAACGATGACAATAGAACACAAAGGTACTACTACACCTCAACCGTTTGTTGTAAAACACGGACAGCCGCCTCTCGCACCCGCCCACCGTGCCTTTCAGAGATAGGGCGCCCACAATGCACGGTCGAGAATATCCCACTGTTTCTGTGTGCAAGTGTTCCAGGGTTGAATTTTTGCCGAATGTGGCGCACGAAGGCAAAGGTTTTTCTTGCATAACGAATACCACACTTTAGCATCAAATATCTGAAGGGGACTGTTTCAGCTTGTGGTAGAAATAAGCGATTTCTAAAACGAAGATAAAGTTTGAAGTCCTGTATGTCTGATAATATGAAAAGTATGTGCGTTTACTGATAAATTGATCAAAATAAGACCGATCGTACAATTAGGGTCATACGTGTTTTCTTTGGAGGCAATGTAACTGAACTCGGGTATTGCGAAAGGGAACACAACAGGAATCGTGTGGAGAACAGCGCAGTAATCCAGTCGCTGGCCTTCCGATGACAGCGGGGTAGCATGAACTGTTTGTTTTCTTCCTTGCCGTCGTAATAGCATTCTCAAGCTCATTGGGATACTAAATTAACATCTGTCATGCATCAGGGCATATCCGAAGAGGAGTTCACTCAGCTCCAGGTGAGACGCAACCGTAGAGGTGTTGACATGTCCGTTTGAGCTAAATGCTTAAGTTAGGCAACACATTTTAGTGAAGTGGGATCAAATGACCACCATTGATAGCGTTTTAGCTTAAGCAGTCGATAATACTAAAAAACATCTTGCATCCATGGTTGGAAACCACCACTGGGACATGTGAAAGCATCCCTGTTGAGAATACGAGAGGAGAAAGCATCCTCCAAACACACTAGCTTGCTAGCCGAGTCTAGATGCCATCCGGTCTTTTGAGCCTTGACTTCAACTCTGAATTTTGACTTTGAACTTCTTTGATTCTTGGGCAGGATCAGCCTGAGGTTGATTAACTGACCACTTGGCCCCCAAATGTAAAGAGTACCATTATGCCGGACATGCCCATTTTAGCAGCAACATTGCAGTACAAATTTCAGAGCAGTTATATCATGTTTGGTGCATGATGCATGCCAATTTCAGTGCACAGAGATCTGGTGTGTTAGAAAATTATGACATCAAGGTAACTTCAGACAATGGTCAGCACAAACTTCACTTAAAACAGAGCTTAGGTTGGATGTGCACAAAACAGGTTGTAATCTGGTGTGTTAGATGAACTTTTGCAAAGTGTGAAGGCACATTTTATGCTGATCATGTTAGGCACAGTGGTAAAACTGTGCAAACATTTATTTGCATTATACCATGATTCCTGATGCCCACAGTTTGGTGTCTAAGCATTACAGGGTTCACCACATCAGGAATCAATAATTCAAGAAATTATAATATTGTTATGGTAATTCTAGCAATGATACTCTAAGCACCAAAAGCATTGGGGCTTAAAAGCACTAAATGTTTTGGATGCTAGGTTGATGTTATGTGAGCAGTGATGGTAGTGGTCTAGTCTGCAAAAATCCTGTGTGCTAAATCTATACTCACGTGTATTAAACTCAGGCAAGGCCAACTTGTGCCAAGCCCAAGGCAGGCAAAATCTTGCTGAATTTTTAACCTGCAGTAGCTGAAAAGGTTTCAGAGTATTTTTGCCCAAAATTGCCTATACATCATAATTCTCTGAAACATTGGCTCTTTCAGTGCCAAAGTTAGTGGAAACTGCACACTGAATCTGGTTGTATTTCAAGTATGCTTGCAAAATAGACTGTAGCTTGTAATTGCATATCGCAGGAGGACATGGTGCTAAAGGACCCAGGTGTTAGCAGTGTGGATGGGCAGGCCCACAGCTCTTGTTCGCTCTGAGCATCATAGGGCACTGGCTGTCCCTACAACCTGCAGCACAGCTCAGCCCTGTTTGGGAGTCTGCTTTGACAGCAGCATGTAGTGACCAGCTCATTAAAACACAACTCTGTGGCTGCTACATTACAAACAAATGTCTTTTTTGTCAAGAATGCCAAAAAACTAGGGGAGCTTAAGTTTCAAAAACCTGCTGAGATGATAGCCACACACACTAACACACATATCCCTCTTTTCAAGGGGTAATTAGTTGGCACATTTTCAAAACTGCAATTTGGCAGCACTATTAGCACCTTGACTTTTGCTGTATGTTGATTGCCAGGAAAACTTTTCAAACATAAGTTGAAAACTGGCAAGGCATGGCATTAAGCAGCAATATTCTGGATAAATCAGTGAAAGATGGCAGGTGTCTGTTGTAGCCAGTGCAATTTATTAAAAATGTGTGGAGAAAGGTGTCATTTTGAAGGTTGTCTTGACTGCACAGATGTGCCATCCCAACATACCTGGAATGTATGCTTCCATTATGACATATGACTGTATGACATCTGAATGTATGACATGTGACTGTATGCCATCTGAGTGTATGACATATGGCTGTAACATATAATTGTACAATTGAAGAAATCTCATGTTTTCCTTTCTTTTCAGAATCAGTTTTTGGCATTAAAGGCCACAAACTATGCACTGGAAGAGGACAAAAGAAAGCAAGCATCAGGTATAACCTCCCCACTAGCCAGTGCTATACCATCCAACATTGTGGTCTGCCGGGTGGTGTGTTGGGCGTAATTCTATTCTGCTACTGAAATATACTCTCAAAGTGGCTACAGGTTGCTCTGTCGAAGCCAGCTCCATGCATCTCTCAAACTGAAGGTGTGGTCAGGTGTAGTGAAGCGAGCCAGACAGCAGCCGAGCTCCGCACATGTTATCCTGCCTGCAAGCATCACATGTCTCTAAAGCAGGTCGCGGCAGAACGTGAGCAGGTGCAGAATGAGCGGCGAGCCCCTCTGGACGGACAGTATGACGCCAGTCTGGCCGTTGCAGCGCTGGCCGAGCATCAGAGTCGGCTGCAGCGGTCCGACCGCGAGGTGGCGCGCCTGCAGCAGGTGGTCGACAAGAGCAAGAAGGCGCGCGAGGTGGAGCTGATCCTGCAGACCAATGCCAGCCTGGAGAAGAAGCTGGTCTCGCAGGAGGACGACTTCCGGCTGCAGAATCAGACGCTGCTGCAGGAGCTGTCCGTGGTACGGATCCGGCGGTCGGGGACAACATGTGGCTCTGATGTGCTGTTTATTCAAACCGTAATTGTGATTACGTCCTGCTTTGATTGGCTGGGCTATCTTGAGTGTCACCTGATGTCATCTGGGGAGTGCAGTGGTTCAGATGTAATTGTGTTCAGTATTATACTGTGTAAGCAAATTGATATATGGGTTGATGGCCATACTGTGCTTTCTGGTACTAGTATCCTAACAGGTTGCTATGGTTTAGTTCAGAAAGAACACAAGATAATGCTTTTGTACTTCGCAACTTACACACATCGAGGGTGACGTGTCTCATTTGGCACAGCAGTTCTCTGAGAAAGATCCGTTTGCTTCAGTACGTTTCTGCAAATGAGAAGCTGGAAAAGGAGCTGCAAGCTCTCCAGGATGGCAAACCGGAATTGCTGGAGTCACAGTATGCTGAGGAGGTGAGAGAAGAAGTGTCTTGCCTTCTTTGAGATGTCGGTCCCCCCCCCCCCCCCCAAAAGGAACGAGTGAAGGTTCCTGTCACACAGCCTAGCTGAAGAAAAAAGGTTCCCTGCAATACCCCGCTGTCCAACAGGGTTCGGCAGGGTCGGCAGCGGCGCAGACCATCCACGCGTGCCTGTCGTGCGGTGGCTGTGCCCGTCCCAGCTCGCCTGTCCTCGCGCTCCGTCCCGCTGGCGGCTGAACGTCGCCGCTCTCTACTGGCAGGTGCTACACCTGCGCGCCGAGTCAGAGGCGCTGCGCCAGGAGCTGGCCGCCGTGCGCGACCAGACGGCCACCGAACTTGCCCAGCTTCGGCATAAGGTGGCCGCCCTCACCGAGGTCAACGCCCAGCTGGAGCGCGCCGCCCGGCCCGACGACGCCGACCCGTGAGTGTGGCGGTCCTGACCCGTGAGTGTGGCGGCTCTGACCCGCGAGTGTGGCGGCTCTGACCCGCGAGTGTAGCGGCCTCGACCCGCGAGTGTGGCGGCTCTGACCCGCGAGTGTAGCTGCCCTGATCCGCGAGTGTGGCGGTTTGCAGCGGCTCCGACCCGCGACTGTGGCGGCGCTTGGTACCTCTGTCGACTGGGAGTTCGCTGTAAGGTCTGGCTGTGTAGATGACAAGCTCAGGGGACCACTGACGCCTTGTTCTCGGACAGGGTCTTGACGGAGGACTCCGAGTACGTGGAGGTGGGTAGTGCCGAGGTGTGCTACAAGAAGGCCGCCAGCAGCGCACACGAGCTGCTGGAGGTAGCTGAGCAGAGGATACAGGAGCTGCAGGAGGACATTCAGCAGTATGCAGGTGTGTTCTGTTATGGGCCTCAACGCCGACGCTTTGCCAATGTCTCGCGGACTTTGGAATGAATAGGTTTTCATTGGCTAATGAAACAACACCATATGGTGCCTACAGCGAACGTGCTGTCGATGACATATGATAAAGATCTGACATCCGACATTCCCGTGATTGTCGTCTGCTCTGTTTGCGCGTTTATCTGCCCGGCGGTCATGTGTGTAAGGGATTTACGTGACTACCAAGGCCATCCTGTGACGTGTTTGACACCTGTGACGCGGTCAGTGGCCTACCAGTGGCCTACCAGCGGCCTACCAGTGGCTTACCAGCAGGCCACCAGTGGCTTACCAGTGACCTGCCCGTGACCTATTGGTGGCCCTACCTGGTGCTTGCCGGTGGCCCACCGGTGAATGTTGGATCTGTGTCCCGGCAGTTGACCAGCCCTGGTCGTTGTGATGGACCCGTCCAATGCCCCGGTACTGGCAGACATGCGCCTGGCGCTGGACACCACCCGGCGCGAGCTGGACATGGCGCGCGACGAGGCCCGCCGGCTGCGCGACGGTGGCGCCGCGGCCGGCCGGGATCCGGAGGCCGAGCAACTGCCGGCCAAGCTGGCCAGAAAGCAGGAGAGTTACCTGCGCCTGCAGGAGGAGATGGAGGCGCTGCGGCAGAGCAAGCAGTGAGTTGGCGGCCGCCGGACGGCGCGGTCGGCCGCTCGGGCGCGGTGCGTGATCAGGGATTAGGGGATTGCCGTTGGTGCAGACCCCCCACACTCTGTACAAAGTTTAAGATAACCATAAGATAGTGCTTGGAAAGAATGATGAAGTATTATGTTCACCACTTTCCACGTGGGTAGAGGCTGCACCGCCACTGGGCAGTGGAGGGGTCGGCTGACGCGGTGTGAAGCACTATGTCTGCATGCGCGTGTGTGCACGTGTGATTTGGTACACAGGCGCGGTACTGATCACCGGCTTGCTGCGGCCTGGCCAGGTGCTCTATTGTCTCGTCCTTAAAGGGCGTGTTTTGTTTCATTGCACCTCCCACTTGAAACTGGCGCCACTTCGTGCAAGGAGCCAGCTGGCCGCAGCCGTCGGTGTGCCCAAAAGCACGACTAGCATCAACGGCTCGGTAACGGTTGTTGTCCGGCGGTCTTGTTGACCCCGAGCGCACCCCGCTGGGAAAGCGGCCCGTTCGTGCTCCGACGTGCGCCGTGTCGGGTGAGGCCTGAGCGCTGCCCGCTCTGCCTCAGAGCCGAGATTGACGACCTGCGGCTGCAGCAGCAGAGGGACGCCGCCGAGGCCAGGGAGAGGACGCAGCGCTACCAGACCCAGGTGCGTGTACCGGACAGCGGCGCGCCGCCGCCTGCGCCCCCCGCAGCCGCCGGATCGCGGCTGGGGTCAGGGCCGGGGCCGGGGCTGGAACGGATGGTCTGGTGGTAACTAAAAGAGACAAGTGGTGTGTTCTGGTGAATTGGCGGTTTTGCGCGAGGGTGGTGGAATACTGAGAGTCGCACCAGGAGTGTTGTTCGGCACAGGCTCGTCAGCTTGTGTCGCTGGTTTCAGCTGAATAACGGCTACAGCGTACTGAAGGCCGAGCGAGAGAAGTCTGCGGCCACCATCAAGGACCTGACTGACCGGCTGAGAAAACATGAACCCGTGGTCAGTTGCCTCTCATAGAAACGTACTACATATCGACATGGCTCTTAACCAACTGGTACAGTTCTGTTGCCGTGCTTGTCATTAACGTGTTGCGATGTCTTTTGAATGGCCTTCGCGATGGAGTCCCTTTTTTGTTATTGGGGACTTTTGCACGGGACGGGGAATGTCTTGATCGACCAAAGTTTCCTCGCTGTACTTCTGACGCTGATTGAACAGTGATGTGCTGATTGTGCTTCTACTGTAGCGGGTATCCGCACTGCCCTGTGGTAATCTGGATTGCCGCCCTGGTGCGTACCTCATCGTCAGTGCTGGTTGCCGCAGGAGCCGGCGGGGGAGCAGCAGCAACAGGAATCGGAGGTGGGCGGCCGGCGACTCTGACCAATCGGCGCCGTCGGCCGAGCTGGCGCGCCTGACGGAGCAGGCGGCGGCGCTGGCGGAACAGCTGCGCGCCGCCCAGGCCTCGCTGGCCGAGACGACCGAGCGGCTGCGACACACCGAGGCCGAGGCCGAGGCGCAGCGCGAGGAGGGCGAGGCGCGCATCGCCGACGCCGAGGCACGCCTGCTCGAGACGGAGACGCGCCTCGCCGAGTCGGAGGCGCGCCTGGTCGCCACCGAGGCGCGCCTGGCTGAGACGGAGACGGACAGGGACGACGCCAGCAAGGTACACCGGCTGTGGGCGCGCGTGACCGCGCCGACGGTCCGCCCGAAAACCCGCGTCGTCGTTGGTCCCTGGCGGTGCTCTTTGGCCTTGCAGCCCCGCAGCGGACTGTGACAGACAATGATGGCCTACACAGCTCGGACAGTGTCTGATCGGTGTAGACCATCTTACCTCCCCCGGCCGTCGCCGCCACCCCTCGCCCGGCGGCCTGGGGTCTGCGGTCTGTGGTCTGTTAAATGCGGAGTGGTCCGATGACGGGTCCACCACTGACGGCCGCGTCCTCCGGCAGTTGGCCGCGAAGCGGAAGAGCGTGCTGGACGAGATGGCGGCGCACATCAATCAGCTGACTGAGGAGCACGCCGAGGTGCTGAAGACAGCCGGCGAGGCACGCGACCGGCTCCAGACGCTGGTCGAACCAGCGCACCGACGAGCTGCAGGTGAGAGGAGACGCCCGGCGTCTGCGAGACGTGCCGCATGACACGGTTTGTGTGTCTGTCTGTCGCCGCACGGGTCCTGACGCCGTGTCGCACCTGGGGTTTATTGCCGCACCATCATCAAACGCTGTTGCGCCGCCTTGCATCGGCGCGGTCATGACGGGTGGTGTGGAAACCCGCCTACCTGCCATGCACGAGACCGGTGTGTTGGCGCCGGTGGCGCGCCCTGCACGCGACCGGGATAACGTCGTACTGGGCCGTGCCGGGTCGTGATGAAGAGGGGACACCCAAGCTGACTGTCTGCCCCTCAAGAGGCCGACACGAGCGCGCGCCGGCCTGTCGTGTCGGGGTCCGTCATCTCAGCCCCTCCGTCCGCCGCAGGGGGCCGGCCAGTGCCTGGCGCAGACGGAGGCCGACTTGGGCCGCGCCCAGGAGTCGCTGGAGTCGGAGCGCCGGCTCCGGCTGGACCAGGAGCGCCGGCTGGCCGAGCGCGAGCGGGAGCACGCCGCTCGGCTGCAGCGGCAGGAGCAGGAAGCGGCTGAGGAGCGACAGGAACGCACCCGGATGGAAGAGGCGCACAGCGAGCGCGTCAAGGTGAGAGCCCGGCCAGCGGACGGCCGGTCCGCTAGAGGTGGACCCGGGGGCGTTCCTGGTTCGCTTACAAGTACGCGTCTGGTCAGCAGACCCGGTCCGCCCGGACAGGCCAACCTCTGGCTCGTGAGGCGGCGGTGTCGGCGGCGCCCTGACGCTCCCACTCCTGCAGGACCTGACTATGCAGCTGGAAATCACGTCCGCCCAGCTGGCCGAGTTCAAGGAGAAGGCCGCCGCCCTGCGTCAGGAGGTCAGTGTCGTCGGCCTGAGCCTGGACCGGCCGCCTCCCGACCGGGGCCTCCCGCTGCCGCCGTGTTGGGCCGGCTCCGGCGCTGATGACGGCAGGTGTACGGAGAGGGGCGGGATCTGAACCCTTTTGGGTTCGCACTTTCTGTCGATGTCCCAGACGGCTCATGTGGTGAATCACTTTCGTGTAGACCACAGTTGGCTCGATGTTTTCCGTTCAGAATGTGCGAAAATTATGGGTTTTCTCCTCTTGTCCCGCAATTAACACTAGTTGTACCAGCCACCACTCGCCATTTCGTTAAGAACTGGATGAGAGCGCACCGTATGTCGATCACGTCATGCGGCCCGTGTGACGACCGCCGTGCCGCGCCGGCCAGGTGAAGGACAGCGTCGACGAGAAGCGGATCCACGAGCGCAAGGGCGCGTCCGTCATCAAGGACCTGCGACGTCAGCTGGCGCAGGAGCGCCGCCGCGCCGACAAGCTGCAGCAGGCCCTGCAGGACGCGCCGCTGGCCGACAAGCCAGGTACGCCTGGAGCTGAGGCCGGCGCGCCGCCGACAAGCGGGGCACGTGCTGGGTGGTCGACACCTCTGGCCGACGGGCCAACTGCGGCATCAGTCGAAAGCACAGTCAGATGATTGGTCGGACCCTCGCAGAGTCTGTCCTCTGGCTGTCAACAGAGGCCATCATAGAGCAGGCCAACGGAATACTGCAGTGTTTTTGCCCACGTCTCATTCCATGTTATTCATTGGAATTGTGGGAAAGATGCGTTGCGGCACAAAATTTACGAAGCGAAGCGTCCGGCGCTGTTGGTGAGTTCCCCACCGAGCATGTTCGGGGCTCGCGCGGCCTGTCTTCCGGCCACCTGTTCCCACCGCGCTCGGTCGGCACGTGACTGCACTGGGGCCCTGCTCCTCACGCCCCTTCGCCCCGCAGCCGAGCTGTCGCCGCCGCCGCCGCCCGAGTCGGACGTTCAGTCCGTGTCCAGCTGGTCGCTGATGAGCGGCGAGAACGGCGCGCCGTCGGCCAACGGCAGCGGCGACTCGCCCGTCGACACGGAGACGGTCGGCCTGCTGGCGCGCATCACACGGCTCCAGGTGGGCCGCCGCTGGGCCGCCGTGTGCGGCCGCTGCTCGGCTGCCGCGGGTCGCGCTGCCGGCGCCGCCGCATGTGGCCGCTGCTGGATATTTGGGCAGGGGCCGCCCCGCCACCGTAGACACGGTTACTGTCTGTCCAGCTCGAGACGTCTTTTTCGACGCATCTCTCTCGCTCGTATCTGAATGTTTGCGGGCTAGGGTGTACGGTGCCGGCGTGTGGACGCAGGCACCGTGTACTATCTTTGGGCGTGACGAGCCCTTTCTATATATCGCTGCTCCCTTGTGCGGCTCGAGCTGTGCGTGCTGACGCACGCCGGCACGGAGCGTAGCCTCTAAAGCTGTGAGTTTTGGAGAGGAATTAATCGCGCCTTGCTGTGAGCCAGCCGTGTCGGTGCGGCGTGCGCCGCGGACGCCGCCGCGTGCCACCGTGTCTTGCTGACCGCGCCCCGGCGGCGACAGGAGGAGAAGTGGCGCGTGGAGGAGAAGCTGAACCACCTGGAGCAGAGCAGCGGCGCGCTGGCCGACGACCTGGCCAGCAAGGCGGCGCTCATCCAGTTCTACTGCATGGAGGGCCGGCAGGCAGCGGCGGCGCACGGTGAGGGCGTGAGCGCAGTCGCGCCAGCCAGGTGGGCCGGCTGCCGGACTGGCCGCTGGCGGAGCGCCGAGGTCGCGGGGTCAGGGGGTCAGTGTGAACAACCGGATGGCAGGTCCCGACACGCCAGCGATAGCGGCGGCCTCCTGAGAACGCCAGACAATCGGCTGTCCTGTTTTGTTGGGGAAGCGGTCTCGATTACTCTGTTGTCTTCGTCGTGACTCGACAGTTTTACTCGTCGGAAGACTGCTGACGCGACAGGTCTGATTGTCTGGCCACCAGATGCCTCGTGCCAGATTGTGGAGCTTTATTACGTTAATTACTATACTTGACGTTCTAAGAGACTACGCTCTGTAAGGCAACGTTAGCAGCGTCTTCAGCAATCTTGACGCCGGGTTCGATGACAAGAAGGCTGCAGCTCAATGTCAACTGGCAGTGCTATTCTCAGATAGTGTATCCATACCGCGTCAGCAGCGCACTGTATGCTGAGTAGTCTTAAGTCGGACTGCTGACTGTAGTGAGGCCCAAACTCTGAGTGAATTATACGGAAGCGCTCTAACCGTTAACGCCGGCAGCACCAGCATTAGGTGACTTATTTCGGTTGCTGGTTGTGGCCACCAACCTCGCATCGCCGTTGCGGCTATTGATCAGCCTCTTTTGACGTCCTGTGACTTCACGTGTTGCACTGTGACGTCATCTGACGCGGCGGTCCGTCGGCAGCGTCGTCCGAGGGCCTGGCACCGGTGAAGAAGCTGGTGGACTTCGTCAAGCATCTGTCGCAGGACGAGCAGCAGCGCGAGATGCAGCGGCGCATGCAGAACATGCTTGAGGAGACGCTCACCAAGAACATGCACCTGCAGCAGAACCTGAAGACCATGTCGGACGAGTTGGTGGCGGCGCGGCGGAAGGCGGCCGGCTGCTGAAACCGACGGGCTCGGCAGACCCAGCGGATGGCAGCTGCAGTGTCACCCGCGCCCAGTGACAGGCGCAGCGGCCTTAGGGCCTCTGAAGCGCCGCTGAGGCTGACAGCTGGTGGTGACTGGAGAGTCGCGTCTCATTAGGAAAGAACGAGAAACGTGCGACGGAACTGTGCTTGCTTGTCACGCCGCCGCCTGCCCGTTACAATGGCGTGCTGCTGGGGAGGACTTGGCGGCGTGACTGGTGATCACGCCGGTGAGGCACCGCTGGCTGTGGTGAGAGATCTGAGACGCGCGGCACGCGGGTGGCTCGGGCCGGTGCGGGCTGGCGCGGCCCGTCCTGCAGAGGACCACCGCAGCGGCGCGCGCGGCCGTCAGCCCGGCCTCGCAGCGGCGCGGGCCGTCCCATGGCCGTCCGCCGCCGCTGCTGCTGCGGACCAGTCCGTATGAAAGCCTACGAAAGGCGAGATCTGCCCAGCACAGCTTCCGATGTCTTGTGCTCGGTTGGAGCGCTGCTGCTTAGACCCGTCCTATATCCAGCTCCGTTGCCACACGGGCCCCTGTAATGTTGCGGGTTGAGTAGCTGTGGTGCCTCTTTTTTCCACCCTCTGTGCCCGCTTGGTGGCTGGGGTTTGGCAGTGACGTGGCATCTCTGGTAGGTTCGCGGACTCGGGGCTGTGCTGTGCTTAGCCGCACACAGCTGATGGGCGCTGCTGCGGTATCGGGGGTCCGTGAGGACGCCTTCACAACAGCGTCCCTGGCATGGCGTAACGAGTCCACGGCGTTCTGGCACGAGGAGAACTGTGAGTGCTGTAGCGGAAGTGCACTGTGCTGGGCTGGCGGTGCCCGTGTATACGCAGTCGAGTCTAGGGCAACGGGTTGAATGAAGATCATGAACTATTAATGTGTGAAATATTTTCTATATACGGCTTGCGGGTGCCGTCTCCCAGTTCCCGGAGGTAGCTGTGTGTTCAGCCAGGAGCTTTAAGCCTTGCACGCGCCGTCCCGCGCGGGATGGCCGCCCGGGCTGAGTGGGCGTTCAGGCGCACCTCGGGTCGTGTGATGGGGTTGGCACGTGTGTGGGCGGTGCACCGGGCTGCTTTGGATCGGGTTATCGGGGAAGAGCTGTGGGGTCTCGTTGGTCTAACGTTGCCCCTCCCGTAATTTGCGTACAATATTCGGTCGGCGGCCCAATGCACTGGCCGTAGGCTGGCTTGAATGCCGTGTGTCAAGGTGTACCCCATCACTCGCTTTCACTTCTGTCTCCGATCTGGGTCTGGATCTGGATCGATCGGAAAAGGTCCCGCTGTTCCAAACATCGGGGCGCCGCGAAATGTATATCAAGTACCCAAATTGTCGTACAAGTTGTTTGCTATATTTTCGCAAATACATGCTCGATACAGTACATCAGCGTCCGGCCGTCGGCGGCGGCTTTCCGCGCCGAGCCGGGGGCCAGCGAGCCGCCGGACAGCAAGGCCGTAACATTATACAACGGAGGCGCGCGGGCGGCCGCGGAGCGTGGCCCGGACATCCGGCCGACCGCAACAGCGATCGACGTGCAGGCATGACTCCAGACGTTGCCAGCCCCGCCCGGGGACGCCGCCTTCGCAGCCCCTCCAGCCTGCTCCCTCGCGTTTGGTCGATAGGGCGCCGGCGGGGGGACGGTCTGCCGCCGCCGGCGCCAGCGCAGGGGAACACCCCGCCTCGGCGGCGGCCCTCGGCGCCCCGCGCGGAACAGGCGGCTCGCGGGCCACGCCGCCGCCGACAGAAAATACGGAAAGACAGGAGTAACTGAAAGACGACAGAGAGACAACGCAACACAAGCGGATAACTGAGAAGTAGCGCCGCGCTTCGGGCCCCGGCCCCGTCCCGAAACCGGCAGCGACCACAGCGCGTCGCCAGGCCCAGCTCAGATCGCCCGAGGGTCAAATTCCTGGCAGGTATGCGTCGAACAGGCTGGCACCAGACGTCTGGTGACACGGACCGGGCCGAGCTCGAGACAGACCACCTCCAGCTGACCCTGGGCCCGGTCGGTTCGGTCGCGATCGCTGACCAGGGTAGGACGGCACACGGATTTCGAACCAAGGCGACACCGAATAATTACAATCGGCTGGCTGCCGACCACGCAATCCATCTAGAGATAAATGCTCGGGGATTCCGTGTCGCTGTCAAGTCATCACGAGAAATCACAGAATAACACAGGCGGAGCCGCGCGGCCACAGAAATCGTCGGTAGCCTTCACAGCTGACGAATACCAGAAAGCTACTTCAAATGGATGCGGGCATCACACAGCGTGCACGAAAGTAACAATAAACACGTGCTGGTACACCAACACCGCGTCATCCGTCAGCGCTGCATTCAACGCACCCGCAAAACCCTACACATAGGTTCCTCGTTCCGCTATGTCGGTAAGTACTTCCGATAACAACTGACCGGTCGTGGCATTGCTTGGATAGATGACAACGCTGCCGCACGTCGCCGCTCGCCGCGAGGAAGCCGCGCACTCCTGCCCTGCACTACAACACGATATCACGAGTCGGCGACTCCGGGCGCGTTCGATGCCGCCGACCGGCCGGGCCGTCTCAGTCCGCACATCCCGCGGCTGGTCAAGGCATCCCGCCGAATACGACAGGTCAACACCGGAAACTGGCCGGCCGGCCGGCCGCTGCGAACGCTCCGGCTACCAGCGGAGACTCCGGCACTGGCTGCCGCGCGCAACGGCGGCGCGCCCCGGCGCGGCACCGAGCGTGAGGATTATCTCCGCCTTCCTGAGTCGGGGGTGGGGGCGGACCGACGGCCCGCCACTCCAGCGGTCACGCGGAGGCGGTGTAGCACCGCTTCAGAGTACACAATAACGCCGCAGGCGCGCACGTTCGGGAAGGAACGCCGGCCGGAGCACGGCACCTGTAAAATATCGCCTCGCCTTATCGGTGCTGCAACCAAGAGCCATTGCCTGTGCAGGAGACGTTGGGTACAGGGCTGAAACTCGAGGATCTCCCACCGAGTCCCTACACTGTAGCCTGACGGTCAACTGTTTACCGCAAGGTCGGACTTTTTAGAGCCCCGTGAGGCTCTTTAACCGAAGCTCGTTTTAACCCTCACCGGAATATCCGACTCGTCTATACCACTCACTCGGCGTTTATCTCCAAAGATAATGCTTCGGGGAAAAGCGTATTGCTATGTTTTCTGCCTTTCCAATGACATCGTAGGTTGCCTCCTTGAATAAAGCTTTGACATTACGAGATAAGCCAAACCAGAATATTTGAAAATATTTGGACGAATACATCACACAAAGTAAAAATGTAACGCGATACCTACAAGTGAAGCGCCAGGCTGTGTAGGTTCTAGCCCATCCGATAATGTGCCGTTAGATGCCCAACCGCGAAAGCTTAGCCAGTACCTCGAATGAATCTGCCTCCGGAGTAACGAGCTGAACTAATCACGTGCGGAGGAGTGAGCAAGCACCCGAAAACCAATGGTTTCAGAAGACAATACGAACAGAACGTTTAAAGATTGGTCGCCCCAGTATCCCGGTAAAATGCAGCGCCAGAATTCCCTACCCGGTGTGGAAAACGGCTTCCGGGTGCTCTCTCCTTCAGTGACCGCGCCGAATGACGCGCGCAGCCAGCGTAAACGTGCCCACTCGGTGCTACGCTCGCCGGCGCCGTAGCTGCTGCGAAATCGCTGCCGCTGCGGCGAATTCGATTGCACGCCCGCTGCAGCGGTTGGCCGCGGTCGTTCCGAAAGGAAAGCGTTCGTCGCAACGCGCATGCGACCGCGCCAGACGAACGTGGGAAGGGCGCGTCCATTAGTCGGGCGATGGCCGCGTCCGTCACAAGCTGCGGTCAGAAGTCCAGAGCTGCACGCCCACGCGGCGAGCTGACCATGTCCAGTAGGTGGGCTGGCCCGGGTCGGGCAGGGCCGAGCCGAGCCGAGCCGGGCCGGGCCGGGCCGAGCCGAGCCGAGCCGAGCCGAGCCGAGCCGAGCCGAGCCGAGCCGAGCCGAGCCGAGCCGAGCCGAGCCGAGCCTGGCCGAGCCGAGCCGGGCCGGGCCGGGCCGAGCCGAGCCGAGCCGAGCCTAGCCGAGGCCGAGCCGAGCCGAGCCGAGCCTAGCCGAGGCCAAGCCGAGCCGAGCCGAGCCGAGCCGAGCCGAGCCGAGCCGAGCCGAGCCTAGCCGAGCCGAGCCGAGCCGAGCCGAGCCGAGCCGAGCCGAGCCGAGCCGAGCCGAGCCGAGCCGAGCCGAGCCGAGCCGAGCCGAGCCACGCCGGGCCGCGCCGCGCCGGGCCGGTGGCGGCACTAAAGCGGCCGGCCCAGCTGTCCCGGCTCGGGCACGACAAACTGACGGATGCTGGACAGATGTTTGCTGAGCTCGGCCTGCAGGATCTGGGCGGCGTGGATCTGCGAGCGCGCCAGCTCGCCCAGGCCGGCCAGCAGCTCCGCCGAGCGCAGCCGGTGCAGCGTGCGGATCTGGCGGCCGGGACGGGACGCGGCGGTCAGCGGCCAGCCGGCACCCGGAGACCGCGCGGCACCGCCGGGTGCAGGTAGTGCTGGGCACGGCGCAGGTCACAGGCTGCTCACCGGACACACCGGGCGGGTACAGCTGACCCGTGCAGAGGCGGACCGCACAGGGTGCAGCGCGACATACAATATAAAAGACGGCACGAACCGCCACGGACCACCGCAGACGACCACAGCGATACCGATGGCAAAAGGTATGCACGCAAAGGTATCACGGACCACACGCGGCAACTGCTCCACACGGCAGCACTTCCCGCGTAGGGCACGGTGGACAGGACCACACGCCGCGTGGGAGACCGGCAGAACCGTCACTTTCCAATTCGTGACGAACGACGCCCGTTCTACCGGTGGCCGGCAGCGTCATGCATGTCGACTCGGCAGAACTGAGTCACACCAGCCACGAAGCAGAGGGCAAACGCTGACGCTTGTGCGCCGCAAAAACACACACATACCGCCGACAATCAGCAAATCGCTCAGCTGGCGGGCTGACAACACAACCCAGAGTAGGGCAACGCTTACGCCTGGCATATGTTGCGCCGCCGGGACCCCCGCACGTCACAGCTGGTAACGCGATTACATAGCTCGGGGAATGTAGCAACCAACCCGCAGGCGGAACTACATGCTGATGAGGTGGTGCCGGGCAGCAGCCGGCCATAGGAGAGGGGCGGGG